AAAGAGATCTGATTGGCCCACCTGGAATTCCATTGTCTCTTATCTACCGGCAATTTGCCTTGACAGTTAGTAGCTCAGATTCTTGTATATAAATATAAAAATATAAATATAAATATTATATTTAAATGTTTTAAACCTATTTAAAGATTTATGGTTAATAAAACTATTAAAAATATGCAACACATTTTTTATAAAAAATATAAACCAAGCCATGGTGGCACAGTGGTTAGAATGCAGTATGACAGGCGAAATCTGCCGACTGCCAGCAGTTCAATCCTGACCGGCTCAAGGTTGACTCAGCCTTCTGTCCTTCCGAGGTAGGTAAATTGAAGACCCAGATTGGTGGGGGCAAGAGGCTGGCTCCATAAACCATTTAGAGAGGGCTGTGAAGCAGTATATAAGTCTAAGTGCTACTGCTAAATATAATTAATATCTATATCTATATCTATATCTATATCTATATCTATCTATCTATCTATCTATCTATACATACATACATACACACACACACACACACACACACACACACACACACAAATGTAGAATATTTGTTGATAAGTTTATACACCCAGTCAGTAAAATAACTGCAAGTCATTCTGACTCAGGCATTATTACCAAGCTATATATTTCTTCCAGTTCCAGGTGAATAAAAGAAACAAGATTTTTCTTTTTTATGTACATACCAAAGTTTGAATTCTAACTCGGTTTGAGGAAAGAGGGAACACACCAAAGCAAAACCCATTCTTCATGGGGAAAAAGATGTCTATATAACTTGGGAGATTATAGAGAAGGACTATAGACTATAGAGTTCCTCTTATTCCCCTCCCATAAAAATGAGACTTACTAGCCTCAACGTGCATACGAGCTCAGCGATTTTTCAAACAGGAAGCAATAAATTGGTATTTTCTCATCGCCTGACCCCCTTTAAAAGCTGCAGCTGTTGCAGAATTTTGTGGCTCCATTTTAGCATGGAGGGCCGTCTTAGCTATGTGAGGAGGAAACACAGGAGTGACATCAATAAATGTACATATAAAGCAAGCAAACAAGCCACGGTAGTTTGTGCTGGTTAACCATTTGCTTCTAGAGCCACTTCAAAGAGAACGGCGCTTGAGCCAGTGCAGGAAATATACACCACATCTGGAAAACAAGCAAGGCAAGGAAAAAAGGATACTGTTTAAAAAAAAAAAAAAAAAAAAGCTTGCCTGAAACTTACACACAGTTCAAGAATGTCTTTCCCAGCCCTTCCCTCCTTCATTTTTTGCTCCATTCGGTCTCAGAATAACCTGCTCTTTAACCAAATTCAAGCAACAATGCTTTCCAGGCATACAAAACATCACACAGCAAGGCAAGCACCAACACAGTATGATTTCTAAGGGGGTATAAATGTTTATAAATGCTGCAAAACAGTTGGGGTATAAAGAAAAAGGAAGTAAGAAATTAAATCTCTTTCTTTCTTTCTTCTTTCTTTTCTTCCTTCCTTCCTTCCTTCCTTCCTTCCTTCCCTTCCTTCCTTCCTTCCTTCCTTCCTTCCTTCCTTCCTTTCTTTCTCTCTCTCTCTCTTTCTTTCTTTCTCTTCCTTCCTTCTTTCTTTCTTTGTCTCTTTCTCTATCCTTTCTTTCCTTTTCCTTTCCCTCTCCCTCCTTTTCCTTTTCCCTTTCCTTTCCTTTTCCTTCCCTTCCATTTCTTCCACTCTCCTTCCTTCCTTCCTCACTGCCTTTCCTTTCCCTTTCATTTTTATAAAAAAATTTTTTTTTATAAACAATTAATGAATTACGTACCATCAGGTCAAATAGATAAGAGTCTTCCATGATGATTTATTAACCATAATAATTAACAACACTGGAGGTCTTAGCAAAATAATTTAATGCTCTGTGCCATTTGTCTGCCAGTGGGACGCTAAGCTTGAATCCTGCCATTCAAGGAACCTTAAGTTTTTTTATTAACCTTTCAGAAAGTTGTTTTCAACGTTGAAACAAACTTACTTTCTCCTTGTCTTTGAACGTTTCACGAATATCTAAACCATCATAGGATTAACAAGTTCTGGTTTTGTATGGCACTAACTCCACTGTACCCAGCAAATACCTGCATTTTATAATGTACAGGTAGACTTACGACCATAATTAGGCCCCACATTTCTGTTGTTAAGGAAGTTTTGCCCCATTTTACGACCTTTCTTGTCACTGTTGTTAAGTGAATCACTGCAGTTGATAAGTTAGTAACCCAGTTGTTAAGTGAATCCGGCTTCCCCATTGACTTTGCTTGACAGATTACAAAAGAGAGTGAAGAGATTCCTACTGACGAGAATGTGATTAGAAAAAATATTAGAATGTGCAGAAACGAACAGATTAACACTTGCAATTAAGGAGAAAGGACAAACTGAATATTATATGATGTGGGAATTATTTTATTGATGGTCAGACAAGAAAAACGGAAGTTAGAAATAAAAAAAGATCAGTGAAACATAGAAAGTATGTTAAGATAGATGTATACAATATGACTGTTATTGATACAACTATTAGGTTTGCTGTGCTTAATATTATTATGATGTTCTTATTAGAAGGCATGTTAAGAGGGAGAAATGAACAGGTTTACTATACACAATATTATTATCGTAAGATTAGAAGATTAATACCAATGCAATGTACACTGTGGTCAATTGTGATTGTTATTGCACAGAGATATTTATATCCAGATGACACACTGCTTAATGGAAGACGGAATGTTTATATTAAAAAAGAAGGTCACAAAAGGAATCACATAAGCCCTGGGATGTTGCAACCGTCATAAGTACGAACCAACTGGCAAGCATCTGAATTTTGATCACATGACCACGCGGATGCTACTGTTGTGGCCTGCCAGCAGCCAGCGGAATTGGAGGTGGACTCGGACAGTGAGGAGTTTGGGGAGGAACATGGGCCAGTCCTGGAGTCTGGGGAAAGCTCTGACGAGGGGTCTGCATCAGAGGCAGAGATGGGACCAAGGCCATCCAACAGTCATCAGATCAGAGTAGGAGATTAGTGGGGCAGAAGAACAGCTGGAGCCTGTTCCCGATGTGCGCATGCACAGAGCTACCAGGAGAAGGGAACAGCTAAGGAACAAGGGTCAATTTGGGAGTAAAGGCACAGGTGGATGGTGAATGGCCCCTCTCATGGGGAATAAAGAGAAGTGAAAGGGGATTGGGGTTTGCAGGAGACAATTAGTTTGTTTAATTAGTGTGAAGATTTGTTCATGATTCTCAGAGACTCCTTGCCAAGTATTTTCTGGTACAGCGTTGCGCTTGGAAGCGATTGGCCTGGCGGCTCTCCAAGCCCAATAAGGTCTGTGGTTGCAATTCCCCCGTGAAAGACTGTTTGCCGCGACTTTGCCAGATGTGAATGAGAGGAATTCACATTAGCCTAATAAAAAGGGGTTTGGTTGGGACGAGGAGTCAGGTTCATGATGGTGTGAAGCCTAGGTCAGATCCAGCTCCGATTGTTGTTAAACGGTTGTTAAAGTCGGGGCCTACCTGTATTGTTCACCTGTTGTCATGCAATAAAACAATCAGTGGACGTAATCCCTGTGGTGTTAGTTACTATCAGTTTTGTTTCCTTAGAGTAGGAGCTGCTTGGATCATCCAGAAAGCACCTCCCACTCGCTGGATGATCCTCGCAGCTCGAAGAGAAATGGCGTGTCAGGTAAGACCAACGCCCAATTTCTTGGTGGCATTTCAGGAGAACAAGGAGGCAGGCCTTAGAATTTAGACCCTCGGATGCTTGGCAGAAACTCCTTCCAACAGGCCTGCAATGGCTTTTAGCTTGGAAGGACCGATCCTTGGGCTCCCATTCCTTCCTCCAACAGAGATGCCCATTGATTTTTCTATCCATCTTCTTCCTTGCCTACGAGCTTCCTGTTTCCATGGTAGTAGCCTTTTACTTGCTCTCTCTCTCCTTCATTGTCAGGGAGTTTTCTTTTGTCCCTCTGAATTTCATTTTGCTGGCCAAGGTACAGGAGCAGATTCCTGGTAGCCCATGATGGAACCGCTGTTCTGTTTAGCAACCGTTCGAAGTTACAATGGCACTTGGGGAAAAAAATCCACTTGGTTTTCCCCAGTTAAATGACTTTTGCAGCATCACCCATGGTCACGTTATTGAAATTCAGATGCTTGGCAACTGGTTCGTTTTTATGATGGTTGCTGTGATCCCCTTTTATGACCTCCTGACAAGCAAAGTCCAGATGGGAAAACCAGATTCACTTAACAACCGGGCTACTAACTTATCCACTGCAGTGATTCACTGAACAATGGTGGCAAGAAAGATCGTAACACGGGGCAACTCACATAACACATGTCTCACTTAACAACAACAAAAAGCAACCTGGCTCAACTGTGGTCATAAGTCAAGGACTACCTGTACTTTTGGAAGCTGCAGCCCTGGGGTTCTCTGATCAGACTCCATTCAAGTCTTCAGCAGAGCCTTCCTTGCTTATCTGAGGTTGGTTGGATGAAGCACCCTGCTGGAGCTCCATAATCCCTTGCGGGGTGGAGTCTGGGCAACTGAATGGACCTGTGTTTTAATGGCCAGATGCCCTTCTTGTCACCAATGTGCCCAGAGAGAGAAATATCTGCCTCTACCAGATATTTCTCTCTCTGGGATCAAACTCACAGCCTCCTGATTGCGAGGCGAGAGCTGCACCTCTAGGACACTGCACAAGTGGTGGGATTCAAAATTTTTTTATTTTTTGTGGCTTGGTGGGCGTGGCAGGGGAAAGATATTGTAAAATCTCCAGTCAGAGGTGGGATTTGCCGGTTCTCCAAACTACTTAAAATTTCCTCCACCGGTTCTCCAGAACTGGTCAGAACCTGCTGAATACCCACCTCTGCACTGCATCATTCCTTAATGAAAAATATATACCAGTATCTAAAAATAAAAACTCACTGGGCTTTCCTGGGCTTAGAATGAGACCGAGACCAGTCTCACTTTTTCCTATAAAGCATTGTTAAAAAGGGACTTTCTCTCCCGTAGGTTATGAAGCAGAATGGGTCATCGGAGATCTTGAACAAGCTCTACGATACCGCCATGGATAAGCTAGAAGTTGTGAAGAAGGACTACGATGTACTAAGAAAACGGTACAATGAAAAAATAGCCAGTCACAATAGTGACCTGAGCCGGTTAGAGCAAACTGAAGAAGAAAACAAACGACTCCAGAAACAGATGGACATGTTGATGAAGCAGAGAGACACAGCGGTCCATTTCCAGCAGCAATGTTCTACTTCTCTGAGAAGGTGAAAAATCCGTTTTCCGTAGACGCGTTTTCACTCAGTTCTCTCTTTCAACTTTCTTGATTGGTGCTCTCGGGAGCAAAGTAGGCGTAATAGAACCAATCTTGTTGGTTTTACTGCCTGTTTGTCAGTTGACCTTTAAAGTCAGTGATGGGATTCAAATTTTTTTTACTTCCAGTTCTGTGGGCGTGGCAGGGGGAAGGATACTGCAAAATCCCTATTCCCACCCCACTAACCTGCTTTCCAGATCCGTTCTCCTGTGCTGGGCAACCAAAGAAGACCCAGCTGATTAGCTGGGACTCAGGAGGCAGAGAATAGATGGGGGCGGGGCCAGTCAGAGGTGAGATTGGCTGGTTCTCCAAACCGCTCAAAATTTCCGCTACCGGTTCTCCAGAACTGGTCAGAACCAGCTGAATACCACCTCTGTTCAAAGTGTGAGTCTGTGTGTATGTACATGGACACGTGTTTTGAGGTTAAAATGTCTACAAAGGTTGACTGTCCTTACATCCAGAGTCAGAATAGACTTGGAAGAGACCTTTGAGATCTTCTAGTCCAACCCCCTGCACATGCAGGAGACCCTATACCATTCCAGACAAGTGACTGTCCAGTCTCTTCTTTAAAAACCCCCAGTGGTGAAGAATCTACAACTGCTGAAGGCAAGCCCTTCCACTGGTTATTAGTCCTCACTGTTAAGAAGTTTCTCCTTAATTCCAGATTGCTTCTCTCCTTGGTTAGTTTCCATCCATTGCTTCTTGTCTTGCCTTCTGGTGCTTTATAAAATAAGTTGACCCCCTCCTCTTTGTGGCAGCCCTTCAAATATTGCAATGCTGCTATCATGTCACCTGTAGTCCTTCCTTCTCTAGACTAGCCAAACTCAAATCTTGCGACTATTCTTCATATGGTTTAGACTCCACTCCTTTAATCATTTTTGTTGCTCTTCTCTGCGCTTTTTCCAAAGCCTCAACATTTTTATTTTGTAATGTGAATGACCAAAACTGGATTCAGTATTCCAGGTGTGGTCTTACTAAGGCTTTACAAAGTGGTACTAATACTTCATGTGATTTTGATTCTATCCACGGTGTCTCCATTCATTCTCAGTCTGCCTCTGAAGAGATTGAAGTGAGGTAGATTTTTGAAAAGGGCACTTGAAGAGATAAACTAAGACCCAGCTCAACTCCTCACATCCGCTCACTTTTTATTGGCGTTAAAGTTTAACTCTGCTTAGTAATCTCGTCCCTGAGCAAAGCAGAGAACAGTGGGCCACGTTGTTTCTTCTATGACTGCTTTAAACAGTTTGTGTTTTGGCTCTTTCGTTTTTTTAAATAAACTTTATTCAGCTTTCGAACAATTTAAAAACATTAAAAAAAAAACAATTGCATCAATGTTGAAGACATCATTTACATTTCTTAACCATATTCTTATACTTAATTTTCTATTACATTGCAACTATTACATATTACTTTTCTATTAATTCTCTATTCCTCACTCCTTGCTTATACCACTTGTTACATGGTATATTTTCTGTTAATTCAATATTCAGTATATATAGCTTTATATTCTTTAATTAATTACAGTATTACTTTTCTTTCTATTCTCAAACCATATATACAAGGCATCCCAGATTGAATAATACATCTATTCCTCTCTATCTTTTAACTCTAGAGTCAACCTGTCCATTTCTACGCAGTCTAGAATTTTCCTTATCAGTGCTCCCTCTTGTGGTATATCTCCCTGTTCCCAGTGCTGTGCATATGTAATCCCAGCAGCAGTTGTTATATGTAAAATAATATATCTGTCAGTCTTGCTATATTCTCCCTTAATTATGCCTAATAGGAACAGTTCTGGTCGAAATTCAACTTTTTTGCTTTGTTGTTTCTTTTAACCATTTTTGAATCTTACTCCTATTTTTTTTGCTTATGAGCAGGTCCACCACATATGAAAGTATGTACCCTGTTTATTCTTGCATTTCCAGCATTCTGGGTTTTGATTTGCAAACATCTTTGCCAATCAGGCAGGGCGGGGAGAGGGATAGATGCCACCTATGAAACATTTTGCACGTATTTTCTTTATACGCTGTAGATAGCGTTAATCTATAATTCCACCCCCCCCATTCTTTCCCAATATTCCAATTCTATATTATATCCCACATTTTTCGCCCAGGCTATCATTGTTTCTTTGACTACCTCTTCTTCCTGTGTTTTGGCTCTTAAGTGACGTGAGGAATGTAAAATCCACTTTCCGTTCCTGCAAACGATCCCCCCACCCCATTGGCTTTCTTCTTTCAGATTTGAGACCATACAGCAGGAGCTGAGCAAAGCTACGGCCCAGAACAAGGAGCTGCAGAGGGAGATGGAACGGCTGCAGTCAGAAGCCACGCGGTACAAAACGGTGCAGCTCAAGGCCGCCAAGGATGCTGAGAAGTACAAGGAGGAGCGGGACTCGGTGTTCAGTGAGTATCGCCTCATCATGAGCGAGAGGGATCAGGTGATCAAAGAAGTGGACAAACTTCAAACAGAGCTGGAGCTGGCGGAGTCGAAACTGAAAAACACGTCGTCAGAGAAGAAAGTGGCCAGCGAGGAAATGGAAGCATTAAGACAGGTATAGCATGGGAAGAGACATTTTGGGGTTGAAAGAAGTCAAACCGGTCTGCTTTTGTTATAGTCTGGGGCAATCCTATCCATGGATTGGTTTGAGCAAGGAGCCTATTCAATTGTCTGCCCATTGCTCAATTAATTTGAGCAAGGAATACTTGCAAGGGACCTCTTAGAATCTTGTTCCGCTGGTTAAGTAAAGGTTAAAGTTTCCCTCACACATAGGTGCTGGTTGTTTCCAACTCTAGAGGGTAGTGCTCATCTCCGTTACAAAGCCGAAGAAGAGCCAGCACTGTCCAAAGATGTCTCCGTGGTCATACTGGCCACATGACCAAATGCCTTTGAAGGCGCACGGAGCGCTGTTCTCTTCCCACCAAAGGGGCCCCTTATTTTTCTACTTGCATTTTTACGTGCTTTTGAACTGCCAGCTTGGCAGAAACTGGGACAAGGAATGGGAGCTCACTCTATTATGCAACGCTAGGGATTCGAACCGCCGAACTGCTGACCTTTGTGATCAGTCTTAGCCACTGAGCCACCATGTCCCTTTCCATAGGTTAGCTAGACTCTTTGGAGGTATGTTCAACCCGATGGAGAACATGAAGCTTCCGTGGCCCACCAAACAATTATCTATACATAAAAACAGGCCATAGGTGAGGTTCTAATGTAGATGTCTACTTGACATTTTGAGGAGCTGGTTACCATGAAAGTCTGGCATGGCACAGGGCCAGGTTACTTGTGGGATATGAGTGTGTTTGCCCATTCTACCGTGTCGGATAGGGCGGGCACCCTCCTGGTCTCTTCTCCCAAATGCTGACCCCTAGCAAGACCTTTGAGGTGTGCCTTCTCTAGATTGGTCTAGTGGTTTAGGCATCAGCCTAGAAAGTGGGAAACTGGGAATTCTAGGGCTACCTTAGCCATAAAAGCTAGCTGAATGACTTTGGGCCAGTCACTAGGTGAATTCTAGTTCTACTTTAGCCATGAAAACTGACTGTGTTATCTTGGCCAGTTTCTTTCTTTCTTTCTTTCTTTCTTTCTTTCTTTCTTTCTTTCTTTCTTTCTTTCTTTCTTTCTTTCTTTCTTTCTTTCTTTCTTTCTTTCTTTCTTTCTTTCTTTCTTTCCTTCCTTCCTTCCTTCCTTCCTTCCTTCCTTCCTTCCTTCCTTCTCTCTCTCTCTTTCTCTCTCTCTCTCTCCTTCCCTCCCTCCCTCACCCTCCGCTTCCCCCTCCCTGTTGTGTGTTAAAAGTGCTGGTGTGTGGATATATTCCCCACCTTGCGTTATTTGTAAAACTAATAAAGGCAAATACAAATTAATAAAAAAATGGTCATCACAGGATTTTTTAAAAATAAGAGCCTAGTTTAGTCTATATAGGATCTCACATCAAAGTACTTATTGGGCGTGATCTTGCTTAACTTTTCAGCTTAGACATCAAGATCAGCCAGATGCTGCCATCTTCTGGGGTTTAAATATAATGTCCCCACCACCACCACCACCAAGTTTAGCTCAGTCCTGTTATATACAGTATAAAACAGAACAGGATATAACAAATATTCTGTTTCCACATTAGCCAGCCAGATGCCTTTGTAAAGGCTACAAATTCTATTTTGACCTCCTGATATTCAAAAGGAGGTTGTCTGATATCTATCTATGAATGGATAACACTGGATACTCATAAACCTTGATACTTATCTTCTCTGTAGCTGTCTGTAAAGAGAGCCTTTAAAAGTTTTGCAGATCAGTGGTTAATGCTATGGCAATGAAATTCCTATACTAACCATGTGCTTGAGTTGAAAATAGATTTAAAAGAAACTATAATTTTGTGATGAAGAGATTCCCTACAATAGCAGATTAAGAATTTAAGTTGGATATGTTATTTTCCATTAGCTTAACCACAGATATATCTCCCAAGAAACTGTCGGATTTCATATCAATTCAAGTAGATTTAGATATTTAAGAGTAATCGTTTCAGAGGGTTGACAACGCTTGAAGAAACATAATTATGATCCTCGTGCGTTAGATTAAAATAGAACTTGTCATAGCAACCATTTTAACTCGTAGAGCAACTGCAGTCAAAATTACTTTTCTGTTTTCACTTCACAGTCTATAGGTCCCATTGATAACGAATACATAAGTTTTAATTCATATATCATTATATATATATTTTTTTTTAGAAAGCCTAGGTTTACATAAAAAGCATGGTGTAAGATTTGGCATCAGAAATTGGCAATAATGTTTGTGTGCTTTTCAGTTAAAAGAATTAATGCAAGTTGTTGGATGTTACGATAACGTCCAGTGGATGCAATAGATATTTAAAATAATATCATATCCCATTGACATTATGGTCAATGTTTACTGTCACAAATACGTACCTAAAACACAGATATTAAAAAGCTCTGGAAACAATATTTTCTTTTTTTAATTATCCCACCTCACCCCTCTTTAAGTACCAAGATAAATATATTCAGTGCAAGGAATTAAAAGAGAGATATTTTAACAAGAATATATAAAAGATTAATGGTAAATCTTTTTTACACAAAAGGTTGGTAAGAAATTCTAACTTGATTTGGGATGAATGGCTTGGTTCAATCATTCCTCCATTATACCATCAGTTCCTTCCTCCCTCTTTCTTTCCTTCCTTCCTTCCTTCCTTCCTTCCTTCCTTCCTTCCTTCCTTCCTTCCCTTCCTTCCTTCCTTCTTTCTTTCTTCTTTTCCAACTCTCAAACACTTTTCTTGGCAAGATTTTCCAAAAGTGATTGGCCACTGCCTCTGTTTTAGGGCTGAGAGAAAGTGACTGGTCCAAGGTCACCCAGATGGCTTTGTGTCTAAAGCAGGACTGGTCTCCCAGTTTCTATCCTGATACTTTAACTACTACACCAAACTAGCTTTCTTCTTTATGTCCCACTAAATGAAATTGACCCTTCCAAAAGGAGATATGTCGCGGTGGTATCAATTTTCTCATTAGGTTCCTCACTGTAACTTTTATGATCTCAGGTGCTTAGCAGGGAGAATAACCAAAGGAATAGAAGAAGATGAAGAAGGCTCAATAGTTTCCTTGTTCCTCCCAGAACATTCCACTTCTTCTGTCACCTTTTTGTGGTCCTGAGACAATATTTTTGATTCATCCCTCACCAAAGAAAAAATACTTAACTTTTAAGTTATTAACAACCTCTAGCAAATGTTGGAAATGTAACAAAAAACCGGGGCACATTTTATCCTGTGTGGTGGATTTGTATTAAAGCAAAAAAAAGAAAAGAAAAAAAATGGGCAAAAATATGTAGATGGGTAGAAAAGATAATAATAGGGAAACATGTAGATTTCAAACCTGAACTGTTTTTATTAGGGATGATGCCAGAAAAAAAATGATAAGAAACGTGTGTATTTAATATTACATGACCTAACAGCAGCGAGTATTATTTTTGTGCAATATTGGAAAAATGAAGAAACACCGCAAGATGAGGAGAGAATTAAGAAGATATTAGACTGTGCAGAAATGGGTAGACTTACTTGGAAAATCAAACAGAAAGAAGGCACAGAATATTATCAAACATGGAACTTATTTTTACCAATGGTTGGAAAAAACGGGGGTGGAGAGTAAGAAGAGAATCTGTATTGTTAAGTAATTTAAATACCCAGACAACACGATGTTTATTAAACACCAAGAAATGTAATAGATAGAAAATTAATTTAAAAAGCAACAACCACCTCTATTCTATGCCCAGAGATTTGATCAACTCCATGGGATTTTAAGAGTTCGCTGTGCGTTCATCCACATGAGAAAGTCTCAGATAAGATAACAGATAATCAGAGTTGGGAGGGACCTTGTAGGTCATCTAGTCCAACCCCCCCCCCCCCAAGTGGG